CCCAGGCTGGTGTGCAGTGGAGTGATCTTGGCTCACTGCTACCTCTGCCTCCCAGGTTCAAATGATTCTCCTGCCTCAGCCTCCTAAGTAGTTGGGATTAAGGGCATGTGTCACCACACCCAGCTAATTTTTGTATTTTCAGTAGAGTCGGGGTTTCACCATGTTGGCCAGGCTGGTCTCAAACTCTTGACCTCAGGTGATCTGCCTGTCTCGGCCTCTCAAAATGCTGGGATTACAGGCATGAGCCACCATGCCAGGCCTATAAAAGGAATTTTGATTAAGTTAGCTATGATTAAAAGGGAATTATTCATAATAGTCTTTCTAAAGAACAGTCCCCTATGTTTAAATGGGGTTTTCTTAAGGTATTGATTTGCTCTTAATGAAATTACAAGAAAATTTGCTTTTTAATTCTATAACCTGTTTCTTTTGAAAACTTCTCAGATTCATATCTCAAAAGTTCAGCTTTTGTTGTATCTCACTGCATTCAGCTTTTTCTGACCTTTTCTCCTGACCTTTTCTCCTGACCTTGTGATCCGCCCGCCTTGGCCTCCCAAAGTGCTGGGATTACTGGCATGAGCCACCGTGCCCAGTCCAGATAAAAATATTCTTTAAGAAAAAGTCATTACTAAGGATAGAGAGGGTATGTACATAAAGATAAAGTATTTTAATTCACCAAGATGATAAACTGATTTAAAATTTGTACATATCTTATAGCCTTAAAATGAATACAGCAAGAATCAACAGAAGAAAGAAAAGAAACCCAAGAAGAACTTGACAAATCCACCACCATTATGGAAGATTCTAACATATTTCTATCATTGGTAGATCATGCAGAAAAAAAACCCTGTAAGCGTGTAAAAGATTTGAATAATACTGCTAACCAGCTTGATTGAATGCTCATTTATAGAATGTTTTGCATAAGAATTAGATAATACACATTCATTTCAAACTTCTGTGGAACATTTGTGAAAAATGACCATATATTATACCATAATCAAGTCTCAACAAAGACTAAAGATTGAAATTATGCAGTTCACCTTCTGTGATTATATTGTGTAAATTATAGATCAACAACAAAAAATACATTATTAATACATTTGGAAATGAAGATGTTCACTTTTTATACAATCCATTAGTCAAAGACAAAATTCTAATGGAAATTAGAAAAATGTTAAACTGAAAGATAATGACAATATCACATATTAAAACTTGTGGCATGCAATTAAAATAGTACTTAGAGAAAAATTGATAGCCTTAATTTCATACAATGGAAAACAAGGGAGACTAAAAATTAATGAGCAAACCATCTATCTCAAGAAGTTAGGGAAAAAACTGCAGCAAAATAAAAAGAAAGAGAAGGAAGCTAATTACTATTGTCTGAATGTTTGTGTCTCCCCCTAGAACCATGTGTTGAAATCGTAACCTCCAATGCGATGGTATCAGGAGATGGGGCAGTTGGAGGTGAGTAGGTCATCAGGGTGGGGCCCTCATGAATGGGATTAGTGCCTCTTATAAGAAGAGGCACAAAAGAGATGATCTGTGTCTGCCATGAGAGGGCATAGCCAGGAGGCACCCTCTACGAACCCGAAAGTGAGCTCTCATCAGACACTGAATCTGTTAGAGTCTTGATCTTGGACTTCCCAGCCTCTGGAACAGTGAGAAATAAATTTCTGTGTTTATAAGCTATCCAGTCTACAGTATTTTATTATAACAGCCTGAACAGACTAAGACAGAAATAATAAAGGGTAGGCCAAGTTCAGTGGCTCACACCTGCAATCTCAGCACTTTGAGAGACCAAGGTGGGTGGATCGCTTGAGTGCAGGAGTTGGAGACCAGCCTGGTCAACATGGCAAAATACCATCTCTACTAAAACCACAAAAATTAGCCAGGCATAGTGGCGTGTGCCTGTGGTCCCAGCTACTTGGGAGGCTGAGGTGGGAGGATTGCTCAAGCATGGGGATCAAGGCTACAGTGAGCCATGAATGCACTGCTGTACTATAGCCTAGGTGACAAAGAGTGAGATCTGGTCTCAAAAAAAAAAAAAGAGAGAGAGAGAGAGAAAGAGAATACCTTAGTAAGTGGCACAATCCATCTTTCTGGCTTCTCAGCATTTGTATACACAAATCTGACTTTCAAACAAGAGGACAGGCTGGGTGTGGTGGCTCATGCCTGTAATCCCAGTACTTTAGGAGGTTGACATAGGCAGATCACTTGAGGCCAAGAGTTTGAGACCAGCCTGGCCAACATGGCAAAACCCTGTCTCTACCAAAAATACAAAAATTATCTGGGTGTGGTGGCACACACCTGTAATCCTAGCTACTGGGGTGACTGAGTCAGGAGAATCGCTTGAACCCAGGAGGCAGAGGTTGCAGTGAGCCAAGATTGTGCCACTGCACTTCAGCCTGGGCAATAGACAGAGACTCCGTCTCCAGACAAAGAAAAAAAAAAAAGACAACTCTATGTTTACACTTAACAGGATGCAACTATCCTTCATGCAAATGAAGACATTCTCAGTCTCTCCCCAAAATGGGAAGATGCAAAGATTCCAACAGCATTGTATTCGTCCCTGGACAATGTTAATAATCCCTCAAATCCAGTCACAGTGCTGGCTAAATATTCCATTATCTAGATGCTGAATTGGAAAGTTAACTTCCAACAAAACTTATCAAAAAATAGATAATAGGAAGGGGGAGAAAGAAGGAAAAAAAGTGGTTAACATATACAAACACATACACACACACAAACACAGCAAACAAGGAAGAAAAGGTTCACAACTGCTACAGTCCTTGTTTCTGTAATAGGTCATGTGGCTGTAGTTGACATTTCAATTCTGTCTTCCACTCTTCCTTGTACACATCTTTTGCTCTCAACTGGCTAGGGCTCTTTGCATGATGGAGTGACCTAAATCTTCATCCTGAGGTGTCTGGGTCCTTAGTGGTCCTGCCTTTTTTGACTGTCACGCCTTTTTCACTTATTTTTATGGTTGGACATGCAAGTCCTAAGGGGGGCATCCTAGAGCATCCTTGGGGGTTCAGATGTGGTCCTCCTTACCTCCACCATGTGGCAGCATCCCAGTTTCTCCTTGTAATAGGGATCAGTCACCCCAGGCAGTAGAGTAATCCCTTTCTTCTCTTGGTTCAGTGGCATGAAGACTCCCAATGGCCAACAGCAGTCTCAACATCCAATTCAATGGAGCTGCAGTTGTGTCCTCTGGTGGAAGCATTTGTCTCTTGGGAGCTATGACCGTGACCTCCAAACCTGCAGAGCTCAGAGCTGTGGAGATGGGAAGAAAAATTCTGCAAGCAGGTTATTAGGTGTTCAGTGAGAGGAGCTGCTCCCATGTCTATCTGGAATCCTATATTCTGGTGATGAGAGAAAAAGCATCACATTCTGACTGATTTGTGATCCAAAGCATAAACTGCATCCTGTACAATAGAAGTCAAATCCTTTCAAGTTCTTCTTTCACCCTGGACGATTTTCTCTTGAGAGATCATTTATCGTACCAGAAATCTGGTATGGTAAAGCAGATTTTGGAGGCAAAGACAGGGAGGTGAGGCCTGAGTCTTGAAACAGAAAGAAAAGAGGACTGTAGAGAGAAAGCACACAGAGGGGCCCAGACTTTGTGTTGTTCATGTCCTTGAGTGAGGGGTTAGGAGGGAGAAGAAGAGTCAGTAGAGGAGTTCTCATAAGAAGAACTCATAAGTGCCACATGAATTGCTATAAAGACAGAGTCTCAAGGAGAGAGGCTCAGCACTTCCAGGCACCACAGGTTAGCCAGCAGAGAAGGATGAGCTTGGCTCTGGGCATCCCTTGCTAGGGCACCCATTCTCTGTGAACTCTTGTGCCTCAATCTCATTGACTGGCTTTTGAGGCTTAAAGCAGAAAAGCACCGTGTAACTTGGCTTAGGAATTGCTCTTAGGCAAATCTATAGATCCTGGTCTCTTTACATCTACTCTCCCCAGAAGCCAGCAGTGGGAGCTCCACTGATGGGTCCAAATGGAAAGCGTTCCTGGGTATTTTTGGTTCCCAGCCCCATCTTCCAGCCTGGAGAGGAGGGTTGTAACAGTTCACAACATGACTTCTGGTCAAAATTCAGTTACTCCAGCAGCAAAAGCCAAACCTGTGAGAGGCAGAGGGGTTGTGCCTTCAGACTGGCTCTTGTACAGGGTGAGAAGACCTTGTGCTGATAGGACTCACCTGTTTGGCACAGGCGGCACCCATTGGCGCTGTTCATGGTCCTGAACTACAGCTGCTGGTCTCTCTCTCTCTCTTTTTATTTATTTATGTTTTTTGAGACGGAGTCTTGCTTTGTTGCTCAGGCTGGAGTGCAGTAGCACGATCCTGACTCACTGCAACCTCCGCCTCCGGGTTCAAACGATTCTCTGCCTCAGCTTCCCGAGTAGCTGGGATTACAGGTGCCCACCACCACACCCAGCTAATTTTTGTATTTTTAGGAAAGATGAGGTTTCACCATGTTGGTCAGGCTGGTCTCAAACTCCTGACCTCAGGTGATCCACCCGCCAAAGTGCTGGGATTACAGGTGTGAATCACCGCACCTAGCCCAGCTGTTGGTCTCTATTGCACTCTCCTTCCACTTTCCATAGAGTCAGGGGTGACTTCAGTTCAGCCCTTCCCAAGAATTGGGAATCAAATTAGCAAGGACGTGAGAGGAGAGGGGAAAATGGCTGGAATCCTTTGGAGAATACTGCTGCTGAGACCTTTCCAGGGAGAAGAAAATGAGACTTTTTCTTCTGGTCATCTTTGACAAAGTTTTACAATTATCAAGACCTCTGAGTAGCTGGGAAGCACATGACAACACTACACCATATCCCTCTGCTGGTAAGTTTATAGAAGGGGATGGAGACCCAGGACTGAATTCCTGGAGTGCAGGGTCCATATTGGACTCCCTTATCCCTTGCCAGTGTACAAGGCAGGCATTCAATAAGTGTTGTTTGAACTGATAAGATGTTGGGTGTAAGAGACTAAGTACAGGAATACTTCAGAGATACAGTAGGTTTGGTTCCAGACCACCACAATAAAATGAATATTGCAGTAAAGCAAGGCGCGCAATTTTTTTTTGTTTCTGATACATATAAAAGTTATGTTTATACTGTAGCCTATTAAGTGTGCAATAGCATTATGTCTAAAAAAGTACATACCTTAAAAATATTTTATTGCTAAAAAGGCTAATGATCATCTGAACCTTCAGTGAGTTGTAATCTTATTGCTGGTGGAGGGTCTTGCTTTGATGTTGATGGCTGCTGACCAATCAGGGTGGTGTGGTTGCTGAAGGCTGGGGTGGTGGTGGCAATTTCTTAAAATAAGACAACAATGGGCTGGGCGTGGTGGCTCACGGCTGTAATC